CTTCCCCGTTTGTTCTTCTTTTTCCCCCCGGGCCAAGGGGACCAGGCATTTCAAAATTGCGTTCCTGTTAGGGGCAAAAGGGCGTTCAGATTAAGCCAGTTGAGCCTTGTTAAAGGAGGTGGCCCAAAAATTTTTGTTCCACCCCCAGTTGCCCAAGGGGGGGTTTCTTCCCCCCCCATAAAAAAAAAAAAGGCAACGGGGGAAAAACCAAAAACCATGCCAACGGGGGAAAACCGGGTTAGGAGTTTGGCGGAGCTTTTGCCCTTTTGGGTGTTGCCCCCAAAAGAGGATTATTTTTTTATGATTCGTTCCCTTATTTTTTCTTTTTTAGCCTTTCCCCGGGGGGCATATTTTTCCCCAATTTTTTTTCGGGCCCCCCCCCACTTGTTATTAAACACCCACCCGCCCAAAGCCATGGGTAAGAGGGGACCCGAAAGTAATAGGCCCTTACAGCGGGGGGGGGGGGGGGGGCAGCCTACCGGCTACGTGAATTGATGAATCAAAAAGGGGTCAAATCAAAAGCACCTACGAGCAACCTAGAGATATCCGGCACCTCACCAACCAGATAACGAAGTAGGCATGCGCGGGCCTTAGATTTTCTCGGGGGGGAGGGGGGACGCTTCCGCCAATCCCACACACGCGAACGCAGAACAAATGCAACACCATCAACAGCAAAGAAACGAGTGAGGGGTAGCCGCACGTCTCGAGAAAACAGGGTGTACTCCAACTCGGAAGAAATCGCGCACAGCTCGCGCGCGACGCAAAAACACAACACAGTACAGGGCAGACAAACCTAGAGGGGCGGTAGAACGCCTGTCCGAACATAGAGTCGACGAAGGACGAGTTGTAGGTCATCCCGGCGGCGAACTTGGGCCACAGGTAGTGCGCCTCGTCGGCCGCGCCGCCCGCGCCGGCGCCGCCCAGGGCGACGATGGCGCTCAGACTCTTGGCTTCCGCGCGGGCGTGTAGGAAGCGGACGTTGGCTGAGCTTTCCAGCTCCACCACCACATGCTGCAAACCGAAATCGCAACCATTTTTTTATTATTTCAAGAGGAACGGCAATTGAAGGCAGAGAAGAGAAGGGGTTGCAGGTCACCACGAAAAACATGTATCGGTAGTGATATCCACCCACGGCCATGTTCACGAACACTGCCCTTTGTGGTTGGAGAGCACGGGGCGAGAAAAAGTCGTGAAAAAGATGAGCGGGATGGCGAATATTGGTGTTGCTTCAGCACGCACCAGCCTCTCAGCATTGTCGTAGTTGTTTACTCAACACGGACTCTTCTCTAGCCAGCGGTGCGAACGAGATGAATTCAAGTGAGGGCAATCCAAAGGTTCAAAGCAGTCCTGCTGCCAAGTCGGAAATAATGCTTGCACGAAACCCACTGCCGAGCACCGTGTCTCTTCGTCGTCCATGTTGAGACCTGAGCCACAACACCACATCCCCACGACAGACTGGTATACCCCCAACAGGTGCAGCAATAAACTATCCAAGTCCTACATGACGTCAAACTCGCAAAAACGTCGGATGAGGGTGTCTTGTGCCCTATGCATATCGTCTCAAGAAAACACCTACGGTATATGTACCGCCATACCGAAGAAAAAAAAGCCAACCACGTCGCCACTTATCGTACCTGGTCTTCGGACAGGAGACCATCCTCCATCTTGATGAACGATACAAGAGCCTCAGCATCGCGAAGCGGGTCTCCCGACCCTCCATAGTTGAATCTCGTGCTCCTGTCAACGGGAATGGGATCATTAACGGGCAAAAGGAAGCGTTTGTCCGACGAATGGCAGACATGTAGTGAGGTTGTGCAAAAGATTGCCAGGTTTTCGGGCGTGGAATTTTGCTCGATGTTGTGTAGCTGAAGGCTTCAACGTTAGGCTGTTGCTGTGAGATACGTCCCCCATTGACGGCGTCTCTATGCATCATGTCTTACCAAGTCCTTGCAATAAACACCTGTCTCCCTCCGCTGCTGCGATGTATTTCGCACGACAGTAACGGGTCCCCGTGAGGCAATGATGGCCATCATCGGTCACTGTTGTTTTTTCTCGCTCGTTCAAGTTCTCCCTACCCCTTGGACCTGATCCTCCCTGCAACGTCAGCAAGGCCTTCCCTCTCTAACCCCCTTGCGCCCCGCAGTGGCAGTGGCCACTTATTCACGTGCCCCAGTGCATGTTGGCGGGTGGGCTTACTTGGAATCTTTCATGACGAGGACAGCCTTGGCAGTGCGCACGCCGGCGTTCTCCAGATCCGTCCGACTGACCGGCGAGCCCTCGAAGAGGTAAACCTGTCAAACGGCAGCACGAGGAGAAGCACCAAGCAAAAAGACGACCCCAACATAAAAGAAAGACATGCATACAATATCGTCAAGCCCTTCGGGACGAAAAACATAACCCACACCAAAACAGGGTACCCGCGGTGATCCAGCGTCATTCGCCGGTGAGATGGGTCTTGCAGGTATTTGGACGTTTTGGTGCCTTTTCATGGGGGTAGAGTGCAAACAAAGCACTGGCATTACGCCGCTAGCGGCGGCTAGCATTCGCCGTGTTCGGCGGCCAGCGAAACCTATCACCTTCGCCCGCCGCTACATCTGCCATCAAGCGTAGAAAGGAGTGTCACCTCTCGCACATCTGAAGATGCTGACAACTACGTTAGCATCGACCATCGCCCGGCCGGTATCAAGCGAGAGAAATTACCTCGCTGGTGTTCACGTAGCCATGTCTATCGACCACCTCGAGGGCGGACTCCAGCCTGGACACGTCGTCGGCGACTAGCACCACTGGCACGCCGCCACCGCCGACTTCCCGGCCTCCCCCCATGCCGGCGCCCCCGGTCCAGCCCTTGAGAGGCCGCAGGAAGCACTCGAGGTGCGATGGCCTGAGGTGACATCACGTATCACCGGGGGAGGGTGTGCTCCAAGTCTTAATGGGAAATTGGAGGCGGACGAAAGGGTGTCCCAGAAAGTGTCGTCTCCCGTTTGAACACGATTCTCAAACATGAGAAACGACCAAGGACTACAACAACAGGAGGGCACCAGGAGCGCTGGGGACGGGCGGGCCTCATAGCACCACATCCCGTTCAAGCACGACTCTCAAAAACATGGCCAACCGAGCAAGGATCACAACAGCAGGAGGGCACCACAACGGCAACGAGTACACCGAACAATTCCCATATACGTATTTAGTCCTGTACCTCGCAGGGAAGCCCACCACAACGACGTGCCCCACCAGGTGCTTTGCCGTGGAAACTCTCCGACGGCAAGCAATGACACTCGCACGCAGCCCCATTGTCGCGGTGGATGCAGCAGCGGCAGCGCTGGCAGCAGCCGCGGCGGCAGCCGCGGCGGCTGCGGCTGCGGCGGTAGGTGTGCCACCTCCGTCCCCTGCCTCGGCAACTAGGCGCGCGTTGTCCATCATCGCGTTTGTTGCCGCAGTTGGAACGGCGGCGGCGGTGGGAGTGGTGGGAGTGGTGATCGTTTCACCGGACTCCGGGCGTGTGGGGAGCCGGGCCGTGTTAGCGGCCGAGCAGAGGGCCAAGAGACGGTCGTACGCATCGTCCCTTGTGAGACTTGACACCTATCCAGGAGACAACAACCAGCACGAGCAACAGGGACGAACACGGCCATAAGACGAGAGGAAAAAGCTTCGTCCCTCTGCATTGCAGCTCTTGTCTAGGTGTACCAGGTGCGTTGTATCCAGATGTACTGATAGATAGAAACGAATCATTCCAGCCTCCGGTTGGCATGGCGAGTGCGAGAGTGAAAGTTGAAACACGACATGAACGTCCAACAGAACACTCATCACCTCCACGGCCTTCAGCTCCGACATTATCTCCTCAACCGTCAAGAGGCCAGCCTGTTCCCCGACACCATCGCCGCCGGGGTTTGATGCACTGCCAGAAGAAGTAGGCCAAGCCCCTTGTTGTTCTTGCCGCTGCTGCTCTAAGCTGGTAGATGACGGAATTTCAATGCAGGGTGCTGCTCTGCTAGCTGCAGTTGTTGCTCCTTCCGCATCCCGGGTAGAGTCAATCGCCGAGCTATCCCCGACAACATGATTTCCATTGTTGCCGAACACTTCCGTGCCATCCCTCCCGTTCCCCCTTTCCTCTCCCACTTCCTCGCCGGGTACCGCGGGATCGGACAGAGCAGAAGAACAACCAGCAGACGACGCCCTGCTGAGGCAGTCAACAGACACCTCGAGGGGTTGAGGAACGGGCGCGTACTCCGTGAGCTCGGCGGGCTTGGCAGGGTCCACGCCGACTGCGAAACCGCCAAACGCAGACCCTGCATCGCCGGCGCCACCGGCTCCACCTTCACTGCCTCCACCGGTTTCCCCTTCATCTCTACCGGCTCCACCTTTGGCTTCACTGGCTTCACCGGCTCTATCTGCATCTTCACCGGCTCTCGCGGCTCCACCTTCATCTCCGCCGGGTCGACTTTCATCTCCACCGATTCCACGTTTATCTCCACGGGCTCTTCCTTCATCTCCACCGGCTCCACCTTCCTCTCCACCGATTGTTCCTTCATCTCCATCACTTCCGCCGGCTAAGACTTCGTCTCCACTGATTCCACGTTCATCTCCACGAGCTTTTCGTTCAGCTCCGCCGGCTCCACCTTTACCTCCGGCTCCTCCTTCATTCGCATCACCTCCACCAGGTGTGCCTTCATCTCCACCGACTACAACTTCACCTCCATCAGCTTTGCCGTCGCCACGTTCGTTTCCATGAACTCCGCCGGCTTGGCCTTCATCTCCGTCTCCACCCCCCCCTCGCCCCCCCCCTTCATCTCCGTCGCCTCCTCCAGCTTTGCTTTCATCTCCACCGACAACACCCTTATCTCTGCCAGCTCCGTCGCCTTCACCTCTACCGGCTCTTCCGGCTCCACCTCTATCTCCTCCTTCGTCTCGACCAAGCAAGGGGCTGACGAGGCTCAAATCCTCCTCGTCGATGACGTCCGACAAGAACCTCTCGCGGGCGCCCGGACCCCCGCGGGCTCCGGCCTTCCGAAGCCGCCTGCCGAAAGGGTCCAGGGTAGCAGCAGCATCACCCGCGACACTTCCGCCGGGGCGAGCCAGCATCTCTTGCTTGCCCCATTGATGGTTGCTGGGCTTCTTGGCGAGAGCGGACGCGAAGATCTTGCTAGTGGCGGTTCTGCTGGTGGGCACGGCGGCGGCGAGGGCGTCGTATCCTCTCGACCCCGGAGTCGTGGCGACGGGCGGCTCGAGCCCCGCGGACGCGAGCACTTTCCTCACCACCTTCTTGTCGCTCATGCCGTTCGACGCCTGGAGGGTGAGGAGGAAGCAGGCGGGGAAGGGTCGTTGCCATGCTCGACCATAGTCTTTCAGCTACCGTCAGTTTTCTCAACGGTTGGAGCTCACGGTTCCATCCGAGGAAGGTCGCCCTGAGATATAAATTCCCGGCGTGGGGCACTTCAAGAGATCGACAGAACTAAACTATTCCAATCGTGCCGAGTTTTGACGTGCATCGTGGGAAGCTGGGAAGGTACTAGGTGATCCACCAACCACCGTGAGCAGGCCTTGTGGTCTCCACCCCGCACAACATGACTCGCAAATTCCCGATATTCCACAGCCTCAAAAGACATATTCAGATGGTGCGATGTATGACAGCGGAGCTACAAGCACCATCTGTCTACACGGATTTTTAGCCCGACGCATGCTGCCGCGACGACTGAACACCATCACATGCATGGTCGTCTGACGGCCCCGTCGTATGCGGTAGGCAGGCGCTCATCGCGACCGGGAGCAAAGCCTTGTGCGTCCCCGAACACCCTTCGAACCCAAAGTAAAGACGAAACCGTAGAAATCCTACCAACATCTACTATACAAACCTGGAACTGCCTGGCCCACTCCAGCAGCAGTCCGGTGTCGGGGGAGTGTCCATCGGGAAGTTTCTTCTGGCAGTGCAGTAGAGTTCGGCTGAACACCATGCTGTCCACAAATGTCTGATAGGGCACCGACAACAGCAACAACAGCCGCAGCACCAGCACGCAGTGAATGTCAACCTAGTGAGGCAAGGGATTTCGAAAAAACGAAACATACTGACCTAAGGCGCAGAGAGTTAAACCGATGGCATCGAACGAAAAAAAACTACGAAGGCAGGCGCATCAACCCGCGAACTTCAATGTTTAATAACCCGAAACGCACCTCGAGGTGTACACGCATACTGGTGCTGCACTAAGGATGAGTTTCCAAGCCGACGGCATAGTCCTCTCTAACCACGCAACAGAATGGCCAAATAAAACTAATCCATCAAGGCAAACACGATTCACATGCTTGACAAAAAACTCTCTGCCTTAAGGCAGGAAATGACCGACTGACCTCGGGGCCCATGCCGGCTACCCCCGCGGTGCCGAGCGTTTCCATCGCAAGGGCCTCCTCTTCCTCGGGGCTGCTGAAGCGCTCCTTGAGGCGGCCGGTACCCTCGTCGATAGCACCGCCCATCCCGTCCTCCGCCATGTAGTCCCAGATCACCCGCGCATCAGCCTGTCGTCTCGCATTTCGATTGTCCCCCCACGACGGAAGACCACGGGATTTCAGGGAGGATGTCGAGGGAGTGGGAAGGGAGAACCAAGCGCCGCTTTGCAGTGCCTTCTTCTAGCGTTCCCATCTCCCAACTGCAAAACTACAACGGTGCATATGACCTCTCGCTTGCTCTACAGCCACTCCCTACGTTAGCACTGTCCCACGCCCACGAACAGGCTCTCAGTGTATTTCTGGATGACCGTATCGAAATAATTCTTTGGTCCTCAGGTGTCATCTGTGCCGACCCCCGCACATGTACTTACCTGCGATTCGGCGAGCAGGAAGCCCCGGTCACCCTTGCTGATGCGGTAGTCCCCGCCGGGGTTAACGACCACGTTGTACTCGCCGTCCAGCCCGGCCTGTCCATGGCGCTTCGTCTCCACTGCCACCAGAATCAGCTGATACGCGAAGGCCGGAGTTTGAGGGGGACGACAGAAGGGAAGGCACGATGGCAACGCTTCATTAGCCTGACGTCTGTAGTTTTCAAGCAACGTTGGGTCGATACTGCTGAAAGATGACAGTCGTGCATGTCCTTTCGCCTCCATCATCACCCGAGAGACAATGCTGGACATTCGGATGCTAAGCCGCCGGACTTGGTGCTGAATATGAACGCGACAAACCGTTTTCGAAGACATTGTTCACCTGATGCTGATTGGGAACGTGAAAGTAAGTACGTTGACAACAGCTCCCAACGCCTAGTCCCCCCAATTCAATGCCTGACACCCATACCTCGAAGTACTCGAAGATGTGCACGACGGCATCCCCGAAAAGAACCCCGGTGAATGCCGGAGAGAACTCGACGCTGTAGAAGGTCTTCTTCGCCCCGACGTAGTACTCGGCCAGCCAGGACCCTTGCTGAAGAACCTTTTACCGACGACAACACACACAAGTTCGGGGAGTGGTTTGCCCGCTATGAGACAAATCGTTAAGTGCTAGTTAGTTACCGCGGCGGTGGCGCATGGTCGAGTGAGGTGGAACATGATGATTTGCTATCTAGAAAAAAACGCATCCGTGGCAAGCGTTGTGATCGCAGTCTTGCATAAGAGTACAGCACCTTGAAACTTCTTCACGAACATGACGGCATGTGCAGTGAACCCCGATTGCAGAGCAGTAAACATTAATATTTTTGATGTGTGTGACGGCGTCGACCACGACACTTTTGCTGAAAGGCCTTTGGATGATAATATTCCTCGACTCAAGACGTTTCAACGATCCGTGTCGCACAAGTGTCGTGCACGGTCAGGTTCGTATGAAAAAGCACACCACGACACAAGGCGATGTCCACATGATAGCGCACTTCGCGCATACACCATGTGACTTGCATGACACCGGCAGCAGAAATTCCTTGAAACGTCACGCGCAACAAACGGCGAAGGGGCCCCAACGGTTCTTCACGAAACGAGCAACCAAGCAACAACAAGGCTGCCACCCCCGAAGAGAGAATTGACCTCGCCAACGCCCTTTGACGACTGCGATTTAGCCTCACTGCTACGCCTCAGCTATTACAGACACAAGAACACAGCTCTGTACCTCCGCCGGGAGCGCGGCCCTAGACTCCAGCAGGTTGGCCACAACCGCGGCCCACCCAGGGCAGAGGCACGACTGCGCCAGCACGCTGAGCTTCACCTGCGCGCTGCTCACCACATGCTTGATGCCGGCAGCCTGCTCTTACGGAACCGCGCGAAAGCAACAGTGGTCAGCAGAAGCAAAGATAAACAACCATATAAACGCGCCGAAATGATTTCATCTAGGTATCAGTTCCCCCAACACCTGGCATTGAGGCTGCGCGGATATGGGCAGGCGGATGGCGGATCAGGAACCCAAAGCCTTCGTTTTTCGTTGCTGGCTTTGAGAAGCTGTTGCTGGTGCAGCAGCATTTCAAGATGCCTGACCACTCCACGAGCAATCGACCCTACGTCGAGAAAACAGCGCCTTCTATGGAAGCGCGGTAAACAATAACGCCATCATCACCGAACCCAACAATAAGCCCAGCGACCTAAGTCGATGAATAACCCGCAGCGGCGGCCCTGACAAATGCAGGACCTTCGTTCGCCACGCACCTGAAGGTGCAGCGCGGCGTTAGGGTCGACCAGCTCCACCAGCAGCCTCGGGCCGCACCCCTGCCTGCGGTCAAGCTGCAGGCGTTCGATCGTTGCGCGGGAGTGGGCGCCTCGCAGTCATTACTAGACCACGCCAACAGCATCATGAATAATGATCTAGCTGCGGTCGAGAAGAGCGCTAAGGACCGGCGAACGAGAATGAACGGCGCACCAAGCCTCGCGCGCAAGTCCGCAAAGCGCTACCTGGATTAAAGCCGTTGATCAGCGAAAGCACTGCGACACCTCGTGATGCATTTCCGTAGAATACTCTATTGATGGAACACGATTCCTGCTGGAACTCGATAGCAGTGTCGCTTCGATCAAGCACACCACGCGAAAAGACCCAGTGCCGGCATCGAATCTCGAACGTGGAAAAACACGCGGCCGGTTAAATGTTGCTAGTGCTCCCCCACCTCGACGTGAGTCATGACCGAAATCGCTTGCAGGGACAATCCCATGTCCTCCGCGTGCGAGCTCGGGGGGGCTCTATGGGCACAACAGAGGCGCGAAATGGAATGGGGGAGGAGGCGGGCGAGGGATGCGGATGAGAGGCAAAGAGGTTCACCGACCTGGGTGAAACAAATCGAACGAGTGTTCTTGAAGCACAAGCACTGCTTGCCATAATTTTTTCTCCGCTCCTCCGGCAAGCAGCCGCAAGCCTTGATTCCGACATGGCAAGGAGATGCGGCAGCGACACAGCTCGGAAACATAATAAATGCGAGGCCGACCGCTGAGAAACATGGTTCCTGGGACCCAGATGCGTCAAGGCGATACACGAAGAGGTTTGGGCAGACACCGTCATCTAGCTGTGTTGGGGTATATTTCGGGGGGTAACCCTCTCACTTGTCTGCAAGAACCATGACGGCGGAAGCGTCGTCCACGCGGGCTTTCAGCAGGCTATCGTCGTGCAGGGGAGAGCCCTGAAAGGAAAACAAAACAAGCGTTAAACGAACGGAACGACACAAGAAAACGGCGCAGGTAAGTGTTCGAGGCTTCAACAAAAAACACCATCCATTTCACGCTCAAGGCTCCGTGGTGGCAACGGGCACGTCCAAGGGTGTTCCGGGATCAATGAATACTGGGTCCTTGACACGTGAAAAAGCTATTACATTGCCGGCGAAGGATGACTGCTTGCACCGCCGCCTTAACCCTAAAACAACACGCACCACCGCCAACGTCCACCGTAACCCCAAACACAGGGCAAACACTAAAACCCTTATCAACAACGGGCGCTTAAGGTTCACCAGCCACGCCTACCTGAAGGTAGGTGACCCGGCCGCGGTAGCGTGGGTGCTCCAGGAGGGCATCTATGCGAGGGCCTGGAGGCTTCGGAGACATCACCACCACCTGTGTGGTCGGCCATCATGACGTTGTTAAGAGAGACGCGACAACACAGCGATCATTATACTCGCTCACGTTCCCTGTGTGGGTCCGAGTCTTTCCAGAAGTCGACACCAGAAGGGCTAGTTCACTCCGCAGCCAGCCAGTGCACGGAGCAGTTGTGAATAAGATTTTTCATGTATATCCTAACGTCATAGCGTGGTCCAAACCCAGAATAAGTAGCGACCTACCGTTCGGGGTGTACACACGCGTGTTTATCGATGTCGTTGGGCTGGTTCGAGGGTTGCGTGGTCCCGATGACACTACGCACGAATCTGGCAACCACAAAGCATGGCTAGCGAGAGCCCCGGTGGCACTTGGGGGGGACGTTCGAGAGAGGGTTACATTGCACTTGCGTCTGGACTACTTCAGTACCGCTTGACTTGTGAAAAGCGATGTACCATGCTAGGTCGTGAGTACACAAACTTCGGCTTCACGGTCGACGAGGCACAGGGATGGCTGAACCCTTCTCGCGAAAAAAACTAAGGCAAGCACCGCAGGAGGAAAGGTGGGGTAAAACAACAAAACGAAAAGAGAACAAAGCGCCTGTGTGGCCTTCCTCTTGTGTGACCCCGTCTGATACGTCAGGTACATACAATGCGCCGAAAGGCCTGTAAACCGGCGCCAGAATAGATGGGATGAACACACACACACACACACACACACACGCACACACACACAAAAGGGGTGATTCACTTTTCGCCGTCGCGAAAGCGACGAACCCCGGTCTGGCCCACTCCCTGAGCGACAAAAATTCAACGTTCTCGCCTTTCTGGACAAGAAGACTTTCGGTAGATTTGAAACTCCCTAAAGGCTCGAATCCTTCGGGTTCGCTCACCCTAACCCAGCGGATGTTGTGGTTCCCGTGGTCCAGGTGGAACATCTCCTGGAGCCTGGCCTTTAGGTTCGTGGCGTTGACGGATCCGCACATCACCACATGCCTCTCGCGCACGGAGGAAGGCAGGGACACGGCACGGGCCGGGGTGCGCGCGGTGCTCGAGTTCTTGATCACGTCGGCCACCTTCGCTCCATTTTGTTTTGTTCCGATTGACGAGCGCGGCAATTAATTTGCCCGAAGGACGGGGGGGGGAAGGGAAGAAGAGGGTGCCAACGCATGGGAACAGCAGTGGTGCGCTTTGTATCGGGAGCGGGATGCCGAGGGGATCTTCCGGGAGCTTGCGTTGCAGGCGGGGCTGTGGGTCGTGTTGTAGACGATTTGTCGTGACTTGGGACGCCTCGCTGTGAGACAAACAACGTCTCCGGTAAAACAAAGAGTCGAATGTGCAAAACACTGAACAACACAGCACATACATGCTGCCTAGTTACCCTCGGACTCTTCAACTTGTCGGACCTTAATAGGCTCACTTCACTGGAGCACAAACAACAAATGGGTTGACTAGAGCACAGTTTTTCGTGAAAATCAGACGGACCAATGCTTCCCACGCACCCGGATGGCAGCGAGGGGCACGAACACCAGCACGGCGATAGCGGATGCCAAGCGCGCACCCCGGGACATGGGAACGGGTCCGTATACCCCTTCTCCCACCGTCGACAGCATGGTGGCCGCCATGTACAGGGCTGAGGTAAAATCAATCGCCTCTTCGGGGTCTGCTTCGGAGATATCCTGGTGAAACAAGCGTCGTCGTGGACAAACCGGAAACATAGGGAACATCAGGGGGCCCGGGAAGAGAAACGCTGTCGCTGCACGCCCACCGGGACTACCGTCAAGCAAGTACTATCGTATCAAGAGGCAATCAACAAGAGATGGTCCAGCCAATCGGATGCACCAAATTTGCGACCACCGCGGGAAACAAAAGCAAGGCCTCCGGGACTATCCACGAAAGGAAGAAACCGCGCGTGTCTACGGGGAGGTAGGGAGCGATGGGCTGAAGCGCAGTCTCACCTCGATGCCGCCTTCCGCCCTGCTGAGTAGAAACACACACCCGGCGTACACGAGAACGTACCGGCCCACGAACGCCAACAGCTTGAGGCCTGACGTCAAAGACTCGCGTTTTCGTCTGTGGGCGGGCGGGACAGACAGCACGGACGAGGGGAGAACAAAACATGACTCGAAAAATCGTAAACGCTGCGTGCGGGCATGGGTCACGCTTTCAGTTTCAAGATTTTCCCGACACACAACCATTTCATCAGCAACGGCAGGGAAAAGGACGCACGGAGTAAGCGACAGGCGGGATCGAAGAATCGAAGCGCCGAAACGTCGGGGGGGGGAGGAAACGAATTCAATATGGCCATCAGGGACCCATCACGCACAGCCCAAAGTGCCGTGACCACGAGAGTCTCCCCCCTGCATTCACGTGCAACCGACGCCGTGACGCCTTCAAGCCAGATGACAAGAGGGCATCTGCAGGACAAGCGCACGCCCTGTGGTTCACCTGCTGCTGAGTCCTCCCGCATACAACAGATTCGAGCCGTAGACATAGGTAGCGATAACGCGCAGCTCATTTCGTCTACTATCGTTGTTAACGGGTTTCTTGCCAATCGACATTGATTTCGACGAATGTTGAAAATTGTCGACGGAGCGCTGCTGAATGTTGCCAATCTTCCCCCTAAGAGTGCTTCTTCTGTTTGATATCACACTTGGCGAGCGAAAATCACCACGCTTGTGCCCACCGTGCCTGCGTATTTGTTCCTCAATGCCGCTCGTAAACACCTCGGGACGAAAAGAAGCACACCTCGTGACGGGGATAACTGATCTGATCGACTGCATCCTCATTTCACTCTTTCCCAACGACAGAGAGTACGAAAAGATGAGGAAGGCAAGCAATTGCTGCGGCTTTCGACTGAGTGGATGCCACAGGAGCTAGACCCAGCTCCTGCTGATATACAGCCACGATTACAACGGGGATGGCAACAAGAAGAGCAGAGGGCTTACCAACGCGGTTCATTTAACAAAGGGTCAGTGAAGTACTATTAACAGCCGATAGGGTGGTGCGACAATGAACGCTGCAGGAGTGGGTCATGAAACCCCTGGGTAGGAAAGTCGAAATCGAACACGACTGGCATATGCCAGGGCTGGCGATCCCACATAGAGTCTGCCTGTACCTCGATGCTCCCACAGCTACAGCTTCGTTCACAACTGCAGCGAAGCGCTGCGGCACACCACTATCGAGTCACCCCTGGGCTAATTCGGAGCATATGCTGCACCAAAGTTGTGAGAACGGAAAGAAAGAAAGCAACGTTGAGACATGAACGCACCAACGAAACACGGCACACGATGTGAAAGTCCTCCGAGTTTATCGCAGCCGCAGGGTGCAACACTAATAGCGTCGCAATCGCCGCCACAACGAACAAGTCTCCGAGACATGTCGTCAGAGGTACGCACTGACGGGGGCGGTGCCACCGTACGCTAAAACTCACCGTAGTATCGCAAGCGGTGGTGACGACGGTGATAATCCTATCTAAAGTTAAGGCGAAGGGCACCACGCGGCCGGTGGAAACCTCGAGGGCGGCAATGCCCCACACGAGGCGACGGTCCGCCGAGGACAGTGTCATGTCCTCGGAACAGCAGGCGCTGGATACCAGGTCGCTTTACTATGGCGTGTCCTCCTTCGCTCGGAATTGTGTAGGTAGGGGGGGGCGGCGTTTCGTCCCTCTATCCCTGTGCCTCACCATGTTCTCGACGGCTGGTCTGGGTTATCGGCATCGTTTCGACGCTTGTCCGGTTGCAGCAGAAGGACTTTGTATGCATACCCTTTTGGACGATTCGGCTATAGCCAGAACAAGTTCAAATGTGTGTTTTTGATTGCAGGGCTTTTTTGTCGGGCAACGAGAGAACATTTCGTCAAGCAGTTGTGTGGGGGGTGCAGTTGGCACCAACATTTTCGTAACTTGCCTGGGTACTGTATGCGACCTCATCCCCACCACTTGGCTGATGAGTACGGCTGGCAGACAGGCGCACGGCTGTTTCGTACTCGTGTGTGCTCAGTGCCGCGGGGCAGCGGGTCGAATCGTGGTGGTTTCGGGGCGACACTGAATAGTGGCAGCACCGACAAAGCCCCCGTGGCCTTCTGCTCGGGGTGGAACACAAAAGACAAATTTGTGTCGAGAACTTCCCGCCCCGGGTCTTGCGACAGCACACTTTCCGTGTACATTTTATTAGTTTTGTTCGGTAGAGGAGACAAAGAATTTCCAAAAAAATCAGTACCCAAACCAACAACATGATCTCGACTCGTCCTAAATATTACCTCAGAAGTATCAACAACGAAAACACTTTTCAAACAAAAAAAACAAAATCATTTTTTCGTTGGTTTGAGCCTTTAAACTATTTGTAAAAGAAACGTTTACGCCTGAGGTTGCGGTGATTTTTTCGGAGGTCTAGCAGAAAGCGGGTGACCTGTGAATCCCGCCGCATCTCCGCGCTTAGCCACAAGCACGTCGTGTCCTAGACTAACACGTGCGGTGGCCGAAAAAACGCGGTCATCCTCACATGCCCAGGCAACACGTTGCTCCTTTGACAGTGGAGCCGTTGTTCGGCAAAACAGGATGGTATCGACGGGAGAGGAAACCAGGGTTTCCCGCCATCGTAGCGAGAGACCGATGAGAGGATGGTCGGGAGTACCAAAGGACTGCTGTGCGAGCTCCTGTTACTTACTTTCATGCAGGGCTTTAAGCCACGATAGTAGCATGTGCAAACACCTCGTCTCCCGCCTCTGTTTACCTTAACACATCATGTTATTTGCGCCCGGTTGGGTGTATTTAGGCATAGCGTCTGGGTTTCATGCTACAAGAAGGCGGCCGTTGCCAACGATTCTCTCGAATTCGGCTAGAAAATGGCCAGTTGCTCCAATTTTCAGAACTCGAACTGACCAATTTTTGTAAAGCCATTTCTCGAGCTATGGACCGGAAAGATCGGCCAAGATTTCAGAATTAGAAACAAGATTTCAAAATTAGCAAGCAGGTGTCATTTCCAGCTGGCGCTCTCCATTTGGAAGAACCTGTGAAGTACAGCAGTATAGCTGTATGTGAAAGGCGTTACGCTACTGAACGTGCTAGCCAGAAAGAGTAGCAAGCTGTGGTAGACAGTGTGACAGCAGCACTCACGCTAGCACGCCTTCCGCCGTTTCATCTGAAGTTGCGGCATTCTTGTCCGCCATTTCGTGAGTCCGGTTCCTCCTACGACCGTTGAAGATGGTCACGACGTCGGCCCAGCGAACCAGCCTCAGGAACCTCAGGAACCCCCATAGCCGCAGGTCGAACGCCACGAACAGCACCGACGGCACCACCGACATAATGTCTACCACCGTCTCCTGCGTGTTGAAAGACGTGTATGAGGGAAAGGCGGACGGCATCCAACGGCGGGCTTGTGGGTTCATTCTTTGTTTTAAGGGATGGCAGAACACGAACTTTGATGCTGACAAGTAATGAAAACAAACGCAAGAGCACCAGAAATGGCACCCGAGAGGCACAAGACCAGTCGGAAGGCATCGCGAAAGACAGACATCGTTGATTCTCGCGCAGGGCGGCAGTAGAGGCTTCTCAAAACATACATTTCACGCGTCTACCTCCACACGCCTCCTTTGAAATCAAGATAAAATTACACTATTCCAAATTCAAGTCACAACAGTCAAAACGGCAGGCGCTCAAATAAGCTCTGTGTTGCCAGGAACCTGGTGGGTAGTACTTATATCACCAGAGGACATCCTACAGCAGCGGGGGGTGCGTGTTGGCGCGCTAAAATCTGCTTCTGTGGTGGTGATATCGAGGGTCGTAGTAGCGGCCTACCATCTCCGCAAATCTCTGCAAATTGGACCGACACCCAAGTGTCTTGTACTGCTTGTGCTCGCCGCCACTGACGCCAATCCCTAGAAATGCGGGTTTTAGCTATTGCTGACAACCTCGGTTTAGGGGTTAACGGTCCGTGGCGGTGAGCACGGCTGTGACCAATGTTGGATGCCGCTTGGTTCCGGCGCAGATTTCGGACTGTTTAGAGAGCGAGCGACCTTCGATATTTCGGCTCCAGTAGCAAACCTGAACGTGCCAGCACGCATGACGCCTCTTGATGGTGTCTTCTACTGATATTAGAATCAATTTCCAGGTTCCTCTGGTGGGAAGGTTGTTTCTTCTTATTGTTGGGTCAAAGTATGGGGAAAAGAGCCAGAGTCTGCCCTCCCTTAAGGAGCGGGGGGTGATAGTGTAACTACATATCACGTGCATTCCTGACACCAATGACGACACAGCTACAACAGCATCAGCGTTTCACAGCCGGGCGGGGAGGAGTCAGAACAAATATACGATAGGCCAACGCCACGAGGCTGCGTGACGGACAGCAGGCTTGCCCTGCACACCGTATCGTGCGTTGCATTTGTGGAATGGGGTTGGAAATGGGGAGTTGGGGGGAAAACCTGGGATTTCAAGCAGGAATCGACAGGGAAGCAAAACTCTCCACTATTAAGGGGGGGAGGTGCCTGTTGAAGGTTGAACTTTCTCGTACGATCTCCACGGAATGTTTTTTCCAGGTGCAAAGTCTTTGGCACCCTATGCAACATCCTACTATCACGGAAGCCGTCCTGCTAGCCTTGAGGATCATCAGAGGCAACGGCAGCAACGAAATCACACACAAAAAACAAAATCAGTGACTCGCCGTCGACAGCCAAAAGCTGCGGTCGTGATCAGCCATCACCGCCCTCAGACCCAGCTCCACCGTAAAGAAGGCCATGAGGAAAACCTCGACGATGAGAAACCAGAAGGGGTAGTCGTGCCCGGTCTTGTACCAGCCGCCCCCGCCCGTACCTTTGGCGAGCGGATTTTCATCGTGTCGGGCACGCACATGGGATGAATTAAGCTTGGGGACATTCATTTGGAGGATGAATTGTACCAGACTCCCCTACTGGTGGGGGCAAGCGTAAACGGACAAGGCGGCTCTTCCAACTCCTGGCCGAAACCCCAATGAGTTGTCTCCGGAAATGAGGGAACAAAACGGGATTGGGTCGAAGGAATATGCGCCCGTCGTCGATATCTGCTTTTATTGTTCTAGCCTTTTTTCTCCAGTCCAGTATCGCTTCCCCTCCAAATTCTCAATACCCTATTATAGCCTTGCTTCTGACACTGAAGAGCTCAATTTTCGGGACCACATACCATACGACGAACTAGTTTGGTACATAAGCCCGCTTGCCTTCCTGCCAGGGTCTCACCGTCGTCTCGCTCGTCGAAGGTGGTCTCGTACAGGTACATGCCGACGGAGCCGATGGTTACCAGCATCGTCACTGCGCCGAACCTGTTCGATGCGAGGTTTGGGTAAATGTTTACTCCCGGCGCGTGGTTTCCATGGCGGGGAGGCTCAGGTGGGAGGGAAGACGGAAATGAGGGCATCCAGTCAGGTCTGACGACGAAGAAACGGCGGAGGGTTGTACGCGTGGCATACCTGACTACCCTTGTTATTCTCATGTTCTCCGCGTCGTTACCGTATCTCTGCTCACGTCACCAGCCCCATCCTCGCCTTGATCCAATCAACAACTCTCATTCTACAAAAAAAACGTACTCCATTCGCTGTGCGAGACAAAGTCGAGGCCTGCTATTTGTTCCAACTAATAGGAGGAGCTGCAGTGTGCCAGAGGGAACATTATCCAATACCGACGACGCCATTCCTTCGTCAAGGAAAGGAGCCCTTTGTGAAACTTTGATAACCATGTACCCAATCCCTTGAAGAGTGTTTGCCCGATTTGTTGAGATCAAGTCGCTGGTCCTGAGAAAGAAGGGCAGGTCCTCTTTTCGGCCCCGCTAGCCTCCACAGCCTTAGCCGTTCTCGAGTACGTTCACGGGGGTTAGAAAATGGTTTCGCAACAGCTGAAAACGCAGGCAACACCTTCCATCACTATATGACATACAGGTTCATGCTGTGCAACAGTACTACTCACAGAGGTCCCGACAGGAAGCCAACAACCAAGTCCAGTGTCTTCTGCGACGGGAGCTGGGCCAACTTTTCTCCATCTCCAGGACCGGGGAGGAGTTTCACAATCGTCTTGGCCTCCACGTGCTGTTGGGTGTTTTGAGCATCGAACGTGACACGGCAGAAATGCCAGAAACACATGGGAGTAGTTAAGGTACTCCTCGAGCTTAGTCAAGACAAAAGTGTCCAGAGTGGTTGGTGGAGGCGAGCACGGCAGTCATCCACGGTAAACGCACACCTGCGTTAAAAGAGACGGGGTTGTTCTGCATGTGTTCTCGACCATGCTGTGTGAGCCTATAGGCACGGCAGAAGACGCATGTCGGGTCATGCCCGGGAGATCGTGGAATGAAGAGGCCAGATTGTGCTCGAGGGCAAGGGCACGCGCGTGGTAAAAGCCTGGGTAGAAACACCAAACCACAACATAAACAGCAGTCATACAGGCAGAAAAAAAAAAAACAGGACAAGCGGATCCTCCTGGGAGGTAGCGCGCTGACAACATGGCGACGAACTGCAACCGGACAGAGACGAACAGTAGATCTGCCCTAGACAACAGTAACTGCAAAGCAAACAAGTATCACGCGGTTTTATTGAAACAGCCTGCCTCCCACGATTGCCATCACCACGCGCGGCTTCGCGATTTTATCCCAGACACCGATTCATACATGCCTTGGAGTATAGGTGGGACATCACGTCATCTTGTCGGCGGCGGGCGGCGGAGGCGCCGACCCCTGCCATTCCGTAGCCACTCGTAGTCCATTCCCTCCTCTCCGCCTCCGATCTGCCCGCAAGCTTGGCCTGCGAAAAACATACCACGTGTACACCTCAAGCCGACATTGGGAATAGAGAATACGGTACGCAACCATACCACAAGGAACTTCAATGCTGATCCGTGGCACCAACAAACCGAGGGAGAACACAAGAGACTGGAGAAAATGAGAAGAATAGGTATAGGGAACCTATTCACGGGGGCCATCCGGCAAGTGTCTGTGGAAGGTTTTTTCGACCGAGGGAAGAGAGACAAGACAAACAACTAGGGACTGTTTCGGGGCAGGGTCAACACAACTCGAAGCAAGAGGGTGTCGCTGACCGAAGCCAAGGTGCGCACGAAGACAGCTCACTGACTGTAAGCAAGCAGCCAAGAATCTACCCAGCAGCACAAAACAAGAACGCCTATGGCCTACTGCTGCGGCCATAAGGCTTCAATTGTGCCTTTTCTGTCTCGAAACTGGATTCCTACCCACACAAATGCGTGAGGAAACACACAACCGCGACTCTAAGCTCGACCAAGATAAGGAAAGGACCTCACCGTGGTAGTTATCTTACCAGGAAGGAACTACGACACGCCGACGACACAAGAGGAGCTTCTTCCTCTTCCCCCAGCGACCCCTTGACCGCTCGTTCTGCAACACCCCCCCTCGTCTTGGTCCTTCAACATTACCGGCCGCCGGGGAGGCGTTCTTCAAACTTCAGCGTCAAATAACACCCGCCGCAGATCCCATACCCCAAAACGGTTTGCAGACAGTGCCTGCACAAAAGGCCATCCATCTCTCTTCGTCCCCGCTGCCACGTAGCAACAATTGCCTGTGGATAATCCACAGATATGATGGCGTTGGCGGGTGCGCAATGTGTACCTGGTTTGAGTGTATGATCTGACGCTCGACGTCCTGGCGGGCCCGGTCGATCTCGAGCACCTCGCGAAACTCGCTGGGCCTCAGCAGTTGCATCCACTCTGCGTCGTCGTCATCGTCCTGCGCGCATTTGTTTAGTTTGCAGTTGCGTTTTTCATGATGCGGTGTTCTAAGGATACCAAACAAAGCGGTATCCACGGGAAACGGATTTTTCGTATGTGGTCACACTTTTACGATGCCGTGTGCGAAAGGTACCAGGGGGATATGCACAGGAAAGGGTACTTTCGTATTGTTGGTCGTAGTGAGTGATGGTGGTGAATGGTGCGAGGCGTGGATCGGGAGGAGGGAGCGATCTAAGATGTCGTGGAGCAACACGGAACACGCCGAGGGGGGCGGGGGCACAGAGCGTGTGTTGCCTACGAGGTGCGGCAAAATAGGACTCCACCCCCCCCCCTTGCCCCCACAGGCACAACGAATCAAACTTTCATTGCCGACACTTCCTCTCAAACGCATCCAAACGACACCGACATGGCAAACAAGGCCACTAATGCAAAGCTTACGTGGCGGCCATGACCGTGGCTGCGGCCCCCGTGCCCTGGCGACATCTTCTCTCAAGACGGATGGAGATGGCGACAAGTCTCCCCCCTCCCCCGGCCAAGATACCTCGAGATTTCCGTTTGTACTTGTCTCTGTGCGGGAAGTTAACACAGATCGTGTGGAGGAAGGTGGTGATCATTGTGGTCTTCCCTGGTTTGCGCTGCGTGTTTTCTCACGCTACCCGGAACTTCTTTGAGACAGGGAAAACAATTTCGATAATTTACTCTTTGCCAAATTCTAGTATGTGACCAGTGTAAATATAGCCGGTGTTCCAACCTAAACCCTCGCCTTTCCGTCGAGGCTGCACACGATGCAAACCCTGATGTCGCCGGGGGCTTCACGAGAGTTCCTCTTCATGGATCTCGTTGACACCCGTGATGCCCTACGATACCCGTGAGCCCATCGTAATACGTTTCGGAACAGCTCTGCATAGACCTTGGTGCGGACTATGCCGATGCCCTACGATACCCTTGAGCCCATCGTATTGCGTTTCGGAACAGCTCCGCACACACCTTCGGCGCCATTTCTTCATCAGCAAACAAGTGACTCTCGGCAGACTCTCTACTTTATTGCTTTCAGAGGACAAATAGCCATTTGTCGTCGGCTACATACATTGTATCAGTGAAGGTCTCAAAGAGAGCCGGTGCCCAAGATCCTGAACACCTTTTTGATCTGAAACAGCTGATGGGCCGCCGTGTTACATCTTCTTCAGCACTATATGCTCGGCGGGCTACCTATCTCTTCCGTGGAGTTCATTATCAGGTCAGACGCACTACTTTTAATACTGCAACACTTGTGTACAGCAGTAGTCCACTGCAACACTGGCGCTGACGCTGTTGCCGGCACAAACAAAATGCTCCGAAAACTGCTGTAAATATTTTTTACGTATGCTAAAAACGACTTCCATTGGTGGTCGATGTATGTAGACTGCTGCTGTTGTAGAGGGACGCTATTGTTTCGTTGTGTTGCATCCGTCACCAGGAACACCAAAATAACAGCAGCAGCGGGTGCCAATGTAATTGGTAAACAACAGACCAGTTTCACCTTGGTAACCCGCCGAGTGTTCCCTGTTCCCTGTGATGTGGTCTGGAACCCAGAGGCTGTTCGTCACTTCCGAAAACAACAATGGCAGGGTGCGGCTACTACTGCCCACCAGTACGGCCTACCGTCATAGACCCGAAACACGGGACTTACCAAAATTGTTCAGCTGGTAGCAGCCATCGCGCTCCCTTTCTCTCTCAGAACATCTGTCAGTTGTCTGGGTAGCGGAAGGGCTCCCACCGTACGTGTTTGCTACACTCAGATCTCCGCCGAAGGCTGGTTCTTGGGGGTATGCACACAGTGGGTCACTACAATCCACGGCGCCCCCTTGCGTATTCGTTCTTCGCAATTTTTTTTTTATTATTTTCAATTTTTTCGCGTCGTTTTGTCGTGAGGCCCGGCAAGAAAGAGAGACAGAAAATACACAGGGTGCTGCCCTTCGCATGCCCTGCTACTTTAGAGAGGATGATCAACGTATGTTGCATAGAGTTTGCGTAAATTCTGTGGTTGTTGCATTGCGTTGTTGTACGGAGTGTAAATTGCGTCTCACTGCCGCACCAAGCGGTGACACCACCCATTTAATTACTTAGCCTAATATTTGTTCCATCGAGTGAACAGTGAATCAAAATACATACACACCATACTTCTCGGAGTGCGGTTGTGTGATATCGTGTCATGATGTCTGGAAATCGAGATGGGGGTCAATTCGCCGACCACCAAAACCAAAATTGTGCAATATGCACAGCAGCCTTGGGGAACGACACAACTCTTCCGCCCATGAACATTAGGTTTTCCTCTTCCGAGACATATAGACTACACGTCGTAGCATGGCCCGTGGGTACAAGCCACCATGTTAGGCAACCACCTGAATCCACTCTGTGAGGGAACCACCATGCCACGGCATGATGTTTGACGACAGCAGAGCGGCTTTGTTGGATGCAGGGTTTCGTTCAATGCATGTATGTATGCGTGGAGCGCGAAACGACTTCCATGCACGATCCAAAATACAACGAACTCGGAGGGGTGCGGCGATTAAAAGGGGAATGAACCAAACCATGGGACTCTCAAGCGCTCGAGCACGGTGACGTCCCAGGTAGCTTCATAAACGCCAAGATTTGTAGATGGCGGTTGACGCATAGCTGCAATGGGTACCACCAGCACACCGACCGCGCCTGGATTGTCGCACCGAAAAAACGCAGGCAGTGGAAAAACCCAACCTTGGGCCTCTCTCGAAAGAGGCCGCGCACCCCTCGCTTCGTGGCTGTCTGTGTTGTCCCCCAAAATATCGTGGCTCCCGCGAATCTCTTTCAGATCGGTGGCACGTTTGATATTCGTGTGTCCGTCGTCAGACACATGACACTTTTCTACTTTTATGCATATCCCAACACAAAGCGAGCTGCCTGGAGCACCCCACAGTCAGTTGCATACCCGTTCAACGGCTTCGCAAAAAGGTCCCAGCCCCTCGCATCATCTGAAACTGAAAAACACTCCATGTATCCCCCCTTCCATCTCCCGGCTGGGCAAGAAGCCTCCCGAAAGCAGGCGATCAGTTGCACGCAATCCAAACACTTTCACGCCTTTCCATCCAAAGCCTCGAGGTGTTCGGCGTTCAGGATGGAGGCGTGGCAACGGATAACCCTGAGGGCCTGCAAAGTTCGTCCACGCGGTTGGCAAACGTGGGCAGCAAGGTGTGCGAGGTGGTGGTGGTGGTGGCAAAGGGTCACACTCTACGATGAGAAAAACGCTGGCGGACGGTACGGAGGGGAGCGGGGAGGGCCCTGCATTCACGGGAAAAGCTCAAGCTCGGAGCAAACGCGACAAAACAAGGTACAACATAAGGTTCAACAGTAACAGTCGGTCCTCGCTGACGGTGACGAGCCCTACTGGCGGCGCAGGTCAGCCAATCCTGCCACACACGTAAAACGCCATACCGCGAGTCTCCCCAAAGAGGAGGTCTTCTGACTGCCTTGATAATTTCAGTCAAAACCACGCACAACGCCAGACATCCATCCCGTGTGAAACTTATGACTGCCTTGATCATTTCAGCCAAAACAATACGAAACGTCAGGCGCACACAACTGTCTCACCTCATCAGCGGTGAGGCGCGTCTTGGCGTCCTTGAGCCAGTCCATCGCCACGTCCGCAGGCAGCCCGTGCAGCTTGTCCAGCTCGCCGACGGCCGACTGCAGCTCTCCAGCCTTCGAAGAAGAAACACACACGAGAAACAATAAGTTGTTGTTGTTGTTGTTGTTGTTGCCTTCACACCAACAACCGTTCCGATTTCTCTATCCGGAACCTCCCTCTGTCCGTACTGATTCGTCTGCGGACACACGAAGTAACATTTGTGCGTTCAAGTAGTTTCCGGGGCGTTTGTGGCCAGCACCAAAGAAAGACATCGGCACAGACGACAGAAACGCCCTGGTGGCCACAGTCGGCCAAAGCCTCTTCAGGCCAAAACCCTCCGGAAGTTTACGTCATCCCCGACAACGATCACGAGCCTTCACTCATGAAGCAAGCATTTGTCTCCGAAAAAGGAAGTCACGAGCAGCGGAATTCCACATTCCGGTTGACAAAAACCGATACATCCAGCAGGACAACCACAATGCAGAGCTCCTCAGTTGGAGACGAAACGCCATAGGGCAGTCTAAGACTGCGGGAGACCGGGCGGTCAACCAACGGGACAGAAATAAACAAAGATCTCACGGGCACCTCATGGCCCTCCCGTAAAGACAACACTTCGAAAAAAAAAAAAGAAAAAAAAAAATCACCTCGAGCAGGTAGTCGGCCCTGGCCAGCACTCCTTCCGCCTCGTCCCCCTCCACCATGCCCTTAGGGGCGAACGTGATCTTGGCAAGAGCCGAGGCGACCAGGTGTCCCATCATCCCGTTTCCGGCCTGCTCCGGTACCAGGGCGGCGCGGCGGCACTCCGCCTTCACGATGCCGAACCTGCGTCGCAACAATGTCACGCGAAAAAAAAGAGAGGCCGGGGGGGGGGGGGAGGGGGTTACGTGAAGGGTGACAAAATGAAAGGGGGGGGGGGGTCATGAACGGGTGAAGAGGGTTAATAAGCCCCATCGTGCCTTGGAAAGCAGTAGCCTTTGTGAGGATATATTTTCAATTGTTGTTAGTACGGGTTGCGGGTGTGGGTTGAGGGATAGTGTTATGAACCCCCCGCTCTATTTCATAGATTATACAGCGTAATTACTATCCTCCGCCAAGGTGATCCTTGGAGAGAGGATCTGCACTGCAATGCACAAGCGGGAACGAACGTAGGGCCCACAAAAGTGCCTGCCAGCGCGAGGCTCGCCCTCCGCCTGTGGTCATTCGCTCAAAACACTGTGGCGTGTTCCACGCTTTGGTGCAAGCAACAAAGGCCTGGTAGATACAAAAAAAACTGGGGTGCACTACGACATGCATACACCTCCCTCCGCCTACTCGAAACGGGGGGGATACGCCGTAATATGCGCAAAAAAAAAAGTAGGTAGCGCGCCACGAAAGCCCGGGTTGAATCGAAGAACGTACGCCCGCGTGCTTCCCTTGAACGGGCGGGGTGCCATCAGATGCCCAACAAAAAAACATAAAACGCCACGAAAGCCCAGACCGGATCCAAGAACGGAGCCACGCGTGCTCCACTTCAACGGGCTCATCTACGTAAAAAACACGGGCCGAATCGAAGATTACAGCCACGCGTTGATCCCTTTCGAACCGGCAGGTACGGGTACCATCAGATGCGCAACACAAAAAAAAAGGCAACGAAAGCCCAGATCGGATCGCAGAACGGGGCCACGCGTGCTTCCCTCGAACAGCCGTCTACGAGTCGGCTATCTGAACCAAAAACATGCCTTTGCTTGAGCTGCGACACCGTCGGGATCCCCTTCGCCGCCGCGTCCGCGGGGATGGACTCCGCCGCGGCCTCCAGCAGAGGGTCCCCGCCCGCCAGCCGCCGCAGGTTATCCAACTCCTTCTTGATCGGCGCCGAGCTCGTGAACCGCTCCGCGAGGGAGAGGGTGGCGTGCGTGACGCGATGTACCTTCTCGCTGGCGAGTCTCTCCGCCTTGTAAGCAGCCATGGTGGTATCAACCGCGAGAAATGTCAAAAAAGGAAAGAGACGTCAAGCCGGGGCTGGGGCGGAGCAACGCGTTTACGGAAAGAGGGGGGCCACATTCCTCCGAACAACTCGTGCATCAATCTACAATCCCATAGTATTCTTCAAAAGGGAGATTCTGTGGGTTTTGCGCGGGTGACGTGCTCACTGGTGTGTTATCTTCGTTTGTCCTTCCGCGATCATGACGGGCTGCCTCGACCGTCTGTCGCCATAGGGGTCAAAATCTAGCGGTCTTACTTTTGCAGCCTAAACGAAAAATTCCGTAACATAAAAAAGAATTGAGAAAACCGCCGATAAAGTCAGGCCGAGGAGTGTCTCAACGCACACCCCCACGCGCGGTGGAGTAACGGGTTTCCCCGCATTCTTCACCTCCAATCCATACGCCTACTGGTACGCACGAGGGCAGATGCGGCTTGGAAAAAGGTCGGCATGTACCGATTCGAAAATTACCGTCATGTTCGAGGAAAAGTAGCGGTACAAAAAAGGCTCGATCGAAAAACGTGGGGGTATCGGATCTCTAGGCTCCAAGTCATGCACTCACAAGTCGAGAAACATAAGGGTACCTGCTGATAAAGAGCGCTAGCTAGGCTCGAAAACGTACACTCAAAGTACGTAGATAAATACCTCCTCGGCGTTGCGGGCAGCCTCCACCTCCATAATCTTGCTCTCGGCCTTGTTGCTAAGCTCCCTCAGCTCCGCCACCACCTTCTCTGACCTGTCGAGATCCTGCGCCTTCAGCTCTGCCACCTGTCGTATCGTGCCGCCGTGTGCCATATAGCGTTGTGGAGCGCAATGCTATGCCATGTGTTTTGTGGGGCGCAATGCCGTGCCTTGCGTGAACCACCAATGCCTACGGCCAGGCATTTATTTTTTTCTGCGTTCAGTGAAGAGCGAATTTCTCAGGTTCGCTGGCGTCTGTCTCTACAGCAGACGCAAACGGTGCTAAAAAAAAAATGTTGCAGCGCTCACCACGTCGGCGTGCCTCCTCTCGAGCTCCTGCTCCAGGGCCTCCCTGCCGGCGACAGCGTTGGCGTGCAGCGCTTCTGTAAACTCATTCGCCTGTTGCGAACGGGTACGTACGAAGTTGCATCACCGGCAGATTGGGGTTGGTTCGGGTGGCCCACGCATGTTGTGTTCGGAGGTGGTTCCAGTATCGCATCGCATCACTAGCATAGACGGGGTGGCCACTTTATCCCCGCATGGGTGTTGTGGTTGTTGATGTTGCTGATGTTGCTGTTGCCGTTTGCGGTGGTGGCGAGGATACGCACCCGCCGACCTGTACCGAGGGCAGGTCGATGTGATGCCTCAATCGTGTGGAATGGAACCAACGCGTGAAACCCGACCGCGGCGAGAGGGACGAAAAAACGCCGCCAGGTAAACATGGTAGCCAAGACAGACTTGAGGCCGCGCGTGGCGTGCGCGGGTTGGATCGGTTCATGCCAGCCGGTCAGGTGAGCAGTATTCTCCACGGTTGCGGTGACCGTTTCGTGGTGTACAGAAGGCCATGCTGGAATGAAAAGGGCAAGGGCGATATTTGTTGTTGCCCGTGCTCCACACACCTGGTGCTCTAGGTGGACCCTCAGCTCGGCCCCGTACTTCTCCACGAATTCTGCCGAGAGCTCCTTCTCCTGTTCTCTGAGAGCCCTCCCGGTCGCCCCGTCGTACCTCTCTTTCTGCTCGGACAAGAGGGCTTCGTACTGCGAAAAGGCCGGGGCACGGGGCAAGGAGTACCGGGGGCTCAGCGGCGTAGGTGCAAGGGGCGTCTTCGATGTGCATGAGGCGGGGGGAGTTCAGAATACTACTTTGCGGTGTGGCCAAAAAAAGCCTGCGAGCGAACTGCCGAGTGATCGACAGCAGGACAAAACATTGAGACGGCCGTGCAAGGAAATATTTCGAACTCATACAACATGGGCGAGGTGGGTGGAGAGTGGAGAGTAAAAGGGTAGCTAGGCTAATTGTTGTACACGCGATGAAAAGTCCATGGCACGCAAACGGCCGACAGGTGTGCAAGCCCTCCTGGGTTGTGCACGCGATGACAATCTCATGGCAAGGAAAAAACTGACAGATGTGCAAGCCCTCCTGGACTGCGAAAACCATTTGGTGTCACTTGCGCTAGGAGTGAAAAAGTACACACCCGCTCAGCGGGGGCCTGATAAAATGAAGACAACATTCTCACACAAAAACCCCTCCTGGCTGGACAACTTCTCGCGTACGCACACACCTTATCCGAGATCTCTGCCTCCTTCTTCTGGACGCCGTCCATAAGCCGGAGGGCCTCCCACTTCGTCCTCTCCTGGAGCTCGGTCGCAAGCTGGGCTACGCGAAACCGAAGGCTGTCCTCATCAAGGTCCTTCAGGTCCTGTCATGTGGCAGACACGCACGCACGCGGGGGGGGGGGGGGGGGGCGTTTGCTCGCTGGCGTTGGCTGACCGTTGACCGCGGAGCCTCTTTCGAGGCCAACAAACCGCTCGCATGCTTCACAAGAGACGCCCTACACTGATCGGGGGTGCACTACATCAAAAGCAACACCAACAGACGGTGGGTGGGAACCTCAATTTTCTCGATACGTATCACTCATTACCAATAACGGTGAGAAAAAATCGTTCAAATGCCGCATCACCTCCCCCCGCACCCAGAGCGCCACAGCAAAAAAAAAAACTGCCCACTCCACGTCACACTCACCGACTTTCCCCAGAGCCTACTCATGTCTACATACCTCCCTGTCGATCCCACCACCGCTCGATGCCCATCTCTCCCCCGACGGCACCTCCCCTCTCCCGAGGATCTCACCTTGAGCATGCTCTGCTCCAGCTCCCTCTTGAGGCCAGCGGAGGCCACCTCCATCTCCTCCGCCACTGACGACAGCGCCTCGTTCCTGATGCGGCGCTTCTTGCCGTCAAGCTCCTCCCTCGCTTCGGCGTCCCGCCTCTCCTTCTCCTGCAGCGCGGCCAGCGTAGACGGTGACGCTAGCCCCTCCTCCCCCTCGCCAACCTCTTCTCCTGACACCTCCGCGTGCTCGACAGCAGCGGAGGCAGGGTCGTCCCCTTCCGGGGACGAAGCAAGCTTGTCGCCGCTCGACTCGTCGCTACTTCCGCCGGAGAGGGTCTCGATGGACGACGTGGCGTCGCCAGCGGCGGCGGCGGCAGCGGCAGCGTAGTCAGCGGCAAACGCCGCCGCCGCCTCGGCCTCCTTCAAGAGAGCCTCGGCTTCTCTCACCGCGGCATCCCCAGAGTCCGTGACCATGCTCGAAACACCCGAGGATTCCGACTCGCCGGTAGCAGCCTCCGCCCCCTCCTCGTTCTTCTTCTCCGCCGCCGCGGTCGCGCTTTCGCGGCTAAACGATTCCCTTTCCCCTGCCAGAGAAGCCCCTGTCGCCACCATTGCCGCCGCCATGGCCTTATCCTCTACATCGGCCCCGGAATCGTCGCCCAAGAAATCCGACAGGCTGGTGCTGCCACTGCCGTCGCCGCTGACGATGGCGCCGGTCTTCCACCCTGGGGCGGAGGAGGACGCCGCTTCTACCGCCTCATCCGCCGTAGCTGTGTCTTCCCACGCCGCGGGCTGGGGAGGTGTAACCAACGTGCTATTGCCCTTATCGCTGCTGCTGCTGCTGCTGCTGCTGCTTCTACTGCTGCTGCTGTTGCCTTCTGGGGGAGGGGTCGAGACGGAGAAACCCTTGTTGAGCCCAGACGTGTCGATCTGGCGTTACAACGACACGCGCAGCACATACGCCGGCACAAAACATTAGGTGTACAAAAAACAACGGGATGGGATTGCTGCTATTTGTCTTTTAAAATGACCAAGGTCGTTTGGATTGCGGTTACCATGAGTCACGAACTGAGGGTGCCTCAAGCCTGTCCCGCCCCCCGCCGTTTGCGCTGCAGACTACACCCAAAGGCATCGACAGGTTGACAAGGCACGCGACTGCTTCTCGGTGGCAACTACAGTACAACAAAGGTCACTCGTGCTCCCAGGAAAAAGCGAGAGGCAGAAACTCAAAACAACACGAAGGAGTGCGCCAAGCCTCAAGAAGTACCTTCCCGTGCTTGCTCACCTCGAAGCCGCTCGACGTGAACTGGTCGCCGGGGCGGACACACAGCGGCAGCCGGCGGTGCAACAGAGATGGCGACCGCACGAACGACACAAACACCAGACAGACTTCAGTCAGCGCTCCGATCCACTCTAATTTATCATCTTGCGACAAGTTCAACCCACGAAACCGCAAAATCAAGGAGCATTTTTATCTTTCCGGTGGCATGCCATGTTCCCGCTTCGCACGGTTAATTGAGGTGTAGGGGCGACTGGGCGGCAGTTGAGAGCGGTGGCAAGACAACCACAACCCTTGATTTTTGCCAATGAAACGCTTCGAAGCAAGAAATAAACAGAGCGCGGCGATATTTCACACTCGGCAAAGGACAGCTCAAAGATCACCAAACAGAAAAGTAGGAGAAGGGAATTATCCTTATACAATTAGTGCGAGTTTTGCCAGCCAAAGGAGGCAGCGACATTTCATCGCACACTACGGCAGCGCGGTGTGCGGCGCAGATCCGGCCCCAGGGGAGCTGGCGGGCACTGTTTCTATAGCCCATCCAAGCACCACGTCTTGCTTGTATCTTGCTTGTTTTCGACTCGCGTCGTTTCCCGTTTTTGGATGTGCTAGTCTAGCTATTGTCTTGCGTGAATCACGTTTTACGAGCGACCTGTGAAACAGGAATGTCGGGCTAACAGGGGCCCGAAAGCACAGCGCCCGGGAACACAGGGACCTCGACACGAAAGGACTGGGTTTCACACACCTCGTCAGGCTTCGCTGACTTGTCGCCGCGGCTGAAAGGGGATAGCTGCCGTACCTTGTCGGTGGCCCTCTTGGTCAACCCGAAGTCCCACGCTTTTTCCCAAGCAGGCGAGAGAGAGCGAGAGATAGCGAGTGCGCGCGCGCGAGAGAGTCCCGGAGGCAGTGTGTGCTTGAGACAAGTGAGAGGGGACGAAGGCGATAGCGCGAATGCTGATAGCCGGGCCACCGCAGAACTCGAACACCAGGAAGGAGACCTTTGCACCATCAGTTTTCCCGGGCCCAAGAACAAGCTACAGCCCGCGGCGGCACAGCGACAATCGCGTGGCGGCAACACCACGACACAACCTTATCTCTCTACCCGTAGCCCTTCATGATTTCGACCCGAGGTGCTTTCGGTTGGAATCAAGAACCGCGTGGGGGACTCAAGAACGGCGGGCGTGGGCAGGGAGGGGGTGACCCTTCCCGACCGGATCCCCTCCTAGCGTGCATGTGTCGAAAATCGGCTGCTCACAAAAAAGTTCCCAACTGCAGGAAATTTCCTTAGCATGAGGGGGAGCAGCAAGCCCTTCCGTTACGCCCGCAACAATCAACGTTGTATAGATGCTCCTGTCTTTGATACTTGGTAGGCACCTCCCCTCCGTGCTGACTCCCTCATCTTACCTTCCCTCGTGGGCGTGCCCTTTCCTGGGGGGTACGCCACATGCATACCGCACCTGCCGGGTGGGGGTGGGGGGGCAAGGAGACGAACGAAATAGTCATGGAAGGCGTCGAGAAGTGCAGTGGGACTGGAGACTCGGCCGGCGTGATCCTGCCTCCATTCTTATCTAGAGATTGCCAACGCACAAGGCTTGGGGGAAAGAAACAAACCCGGAGAACGTACGAAAACCATCCCCCCCAAGTGTGATGCGCGCCGTACGTGCACCGCCACGAGCTGCTGCTGCGAAGCCTTCGTTGGTGTTCGTCAACACCCTGCTGTACCACGGAAAAAGGCAACCCTCCGCAATCTTCGGTTCGCCTCCGCACCCCCCCCGTTGTGAGTCACCGTTGGCATGAGTAGGAAGGAGCGTCGATCGGTCCTGCCGGAACAACGCCCCGTCCTCTGAAGGACGCGCGTGGTCAATGGTCTAGCCGCTAAGGCACGCAAAAACATGAGTCATTCCCCCCCCCGCGACTCGGGTCAATGTTTTAACTGCTAAGGCATGCAAAACATAAGAGTACCCCCCCCCCCCCCCGCGCGAATCCCCCGGGAAAAAAGGCGTAAACCCCCGGGGGGAGTGGAACCGAAAAGGAGTGGGCCCCCCCGTCCTTTAAGAACCGAAACTTTCCGGAAACCCAAAAGTTCCCCCCCCCCAAGGGCACAAGCCCCCCCCAAAAGGGCGCGGGCGCCC